CCAGAAAGCCACAAAAAAACACACAGAGAAATCTGAAAGTTAGTAAAACACAAACAGGCTTATTATCCAGTCATTATTCTAGGGAAAGGAGCCGTGGTGGCTCAGAGGTTAAGACGCTGAACTGCAGACTGGAAGGCCAGTAGCTCGGCAGTTTGCATGACAGAGTGAGCTCCCATCTCTGGCCCCAGCTCCTGCCAACCTAGCAGCTCAAAAGCAAGAAATTGCAAGTAGATAAATAGGTACCGCTTCGGTGGGAAGGTAACAGCATTCCATGCACCTCGGCGTTTAGTCATGCCAGCCACATGACCACAGAGAAGTCTTTGGGCAGCGCTGGATCTTCGGCTTGGAAATGGAGATGAGCACCACCCCCTAGAGTCGGATTCGACTGGCTTTCGAGCAAGGGAAACCTTTACCTTTTACTATTTTAGGGATGCTTATGGAGTCCAACTATGTCAAATTTCCTCTTCCCACAATTTTGGGAATCCATATTAAGAGAAATATGTACTGGTACAGACCTCATGATGTCAGAAGCCCTGATTCTCCTGTGGTTGTATTTCTGAAAAGAAAATGTTCTTTGCACAAAAAGGATTACTTTTAAAGAGAATTCTATTATTTGTTTTGTTTTTGTTGCAGGTGAGTACAGTTGTGCTCTTTTTCCAAAATCAAAATAAAAACCTCTTCAAAACAAGCCTTTTATATGCTGAATACAATTTTTAAATGTACGTTTTTCAGCATACAAGCCATTAGGTTTGTTTTTGTCGGGGGGGGGGGTTAATGCAGTTCCCTTTCCTTTCTATGAAAAAGCAGCAAAAACCATTTTTCAGTGAAGCAATTTAATACCTAAAATCTAAAAGGGAAAAAATGAACTTTTTTCTTGCATGAATTTTATTATCTGCTTCCCCAAATTCTCCTTTGATACCAGAAGGCAAGCAAAACAGAATCCGTAACAGAAACAGCTTCCTAATTTGCTGTTGGGCCCTGTTATGTATTGAATTGTATATATAACTGCTATGTGAACCGTGCCATTGAGACTTGAATGTAAATACTGATGTGTGAATCGCCTGATTGAGTTACCATGTTAAGCTTCGCCCCTGGGCTAGGATCCTAATGTAACCAATAGGAAGCCCTAGCCCAGAATGTGTCTGCCAATCACCGTACAAAGCGGGACCGCTTGTGATTGGGTGTATTCTCTTCAACCTCATAGGTTGTTATCTGTACAGGGGGTGTGGCTACATTAGCCGGGAGTGTTTAAATATAGACAAGCCAGTGTATTGTGCTGATCTGATGATGGGTTCTGGCTGGCGATTGTTGTACCGTGACGGAGAAGTAACTGAGCTGAAGAATAAACCGCATTCTTGCTGAAATCACTCTCCGACTCTTTGTTAAGCGCACGACTTAACAGGCCCAATTCAAGGTCCTATATGGCTTGGGACCCACATACCCGAAGGACCACCTACTCCTGTATGAACCATTTTCAGAGGCTCTCCTTTGGCACCCTGGCATCTGAGGCTGGACAAGCAGCAGCCCAAGAAAGGGCCTTTCCTGGCTGCAGGGCCAAAACTTCCTAGGAAGATTCATCTGTCTCCCTCTATTATTGCCTTCTGTCAACAAGTAAAGACTTCTATTTAGCTTGCTGTTCCCTCCACTGTCTCTTATTATACTATCCTGCTAGTTTCTCTTGCCAGGCTACCACAGCGTAGGTTATCAAATGGTCATGGGGGTTGGATTTTGTTTTAAGAAGAAACCTTTTACAAAAAATTATTGGTAGTCACTCCTCCAATTATCTTTTTTAAGCTTCTACTGTTGTGGCGATGTCACTGAGGTCAAGTATGCAGCGCTACAGGCAGTGCGGTACAGAGCCATGTAGACCATGCAGTATTAGGAATGCAAATAGCTGGGCTGTACAACTTATGCTGATTCAAACCTGTTTCCCTTCGACCTCCATGGCAAAAACCCAAGGAAGGTACACAGGAGAACCTTGAGTGGCTGCTTTCAGACAGTATTTCTTACATGGAAGATTAATGACTGAATTTCCCAGCATTGTTTTGACTATACCTCCAAACAGAGAGATTACTATTTACCATATTTTAAGAAGAGTTAGCCTTTAACAGTTTTCCAGCACAGGGTAAACAATGATCTCACCACATGGGACCAACAATGCCATTGCAACTGTTATAACCATATCACCTAGCTGGGCAGACCCACCTACCAGACATTGATTGTTGCCTGCAATCCCATGCCTAACTACTTACTGCAAGCTACAATGGCCACAAAGAGGTGGCCATCAAGTTAGCTCTCTTTTCACTTGAATGCTTTAGGGTGGCCCGTGAGACAACTTCATTTCTATTCTATCCCTTCTCTGTTGGGATGCTTCCATGGTACATAACAGCTTTGTGGACTTCTGCAATATCCCATCTAACAGAGGTGGTTGTATAAGGCATAGAAGATGGGGTAGCACTTACCTGTAACCGTTGTTCATCGAGTGGCCTTCAGTGCAGGCACACATGGGGACTGCATAATTGCAGGCCAGCCGTGAAGAAGAGCTTCGAAGCTTTTCAAGAAGTTTCTAGGCTCTGGAGTGCTCCCTCCGTGGAGACGGAGACCGTTGATTCCGAGAGGGAGACTGAACAGCATCAAGGCAATGATGATCGAGCCAGACTGCAGCAGGAGTGCTTGGCCATTTTTTAGCCTTTTTTGGAGGTGACTCTGACACCAATTTGGGGACGGTGGACTGAGCCTGTGGTTCTGATACTGAGGGTGTCAATGCTGAAGTCACCTTTTGGGCCCTCGTTCCATTATCCATTTGAGCCCGTTTTTCCCCATGGGGGTCCAGGGCGCCCAGGGCTTTCTCCCAAAGTGCAACTTTAAGCCATGCAGCTGTATTGTGGCCTTCTCTCAAACACAGAAGGCATGAGCCATGATTGCCATTTTGGGCCATTTTTGTGCTGCACTCCCCGCATTTCTTTTCTTAAAAAGAGCCATCCTACTGACTTGGTAGGTGAAAATGTTTGCTTCTCTTTGTGGAAAACCTCACTGGTATTTTTTTTTTTTTAGGCCCCACAAAGTACCTCCTGGAAGCACATCCTATCCTCACAGCAGCAAGAAGAGAAATGAGGAAGGACTGTTCACCCCACGTCTGTCACATGACCCTTTGGGCAGGAAAAGGGATCTCCGTAGACAGAGGGGAGGGGAAGCACTCCAGAGCCTAGAAACTTCTTGGAAAAACTTGGAAGCTCTTCTCTGTGGCTGGCCTGCAATCATGCAGTCCCCATGTTTACCTGCACAAAAGCCATGACGATGAACCATGAACCTGGTTTATGCCACACACTGGAAGGGGTCCCATGTTCTGCTGAGGAGTCAATAAGTAAGGGAACAAGGATCTAGATCTCTACAGAGTTCTGCCATTTTTCAGCAAACTGGTTCAGTCAACACACCTAACCAAAGGGTTAGAAAAAAAACTTTAGGTGCAGATACAGATAGGGAAGCAGGCAACAGGACTACTTTGACAAGGAACTGGAGAAAGGCTTAGATAATCAAAGAGTGGAGTCTATGAACTACATTTGTTAGGTGCTTTGCTGTAGAGGAAATTTGGTAACATGGGGAAATTTTATATATACTTGCTGCTCTAGAACATAGTGCTAGCCATTAGCTTAGAGGGCAAATGCATGGAGCCACGCTGGCCGAACGTGGACCTCCATGTTCAGCATCAGTATACTTCTGAGTGCAGATGCTAGCAGGCAACAGCAGGCAGAAGCTTTGCCTATTCATGCCTACTGTAAGTTTTCTTAAGGATCTGGTGAATAACAGGTTGCTGGACTAGACAGACCATTTGTCTGATACAGGGGAGCTTTCCTTTGTGTTTACAGGAAAGGGCAGCGGCCCAGTTACAATGAGAAGAGGTGGCAGAAAGAGCCACTAGCACTCTAGGAAGACCTATGGTTTTCTACAGAAATACAATAGCTTACTATCTTCCACAGTTCAAGTTTCCCGAGGGCTGATGGCCATGGCTGTTGCACAGAACTAAGACAGGAATCCTTATGTTAAACTGAGCACCTTCCTGAAAATTTCGGCGGGGGCTCACGCCCCGCCACCCCCACGAAGATTACGCCTATGTCTTCCACAGTTCAAGTTTCCTGAGGGCTGATGACCATGGCTGTTGCAGAGAACTAAGACAGGAATCCTTATGTTAAATAGTGGGTTTAACATAGCAAAGGCAAAGGCAGAGTGATTTCAACAAGCAGCAGTGTTAAATTCTGAGTTCTGGATGCATTGCAGTGATCAGCTCTAGTTTATTTAGTGATTTCAGGAACACTATAAGGACTGAATTCCAGGGCTTGCTGCCCAGCTTATAAAGCATGCAAGAACCACACCCCAACACACCCCACTCCCAACGATAGGCTATTTACATTACACTACTATATTAATGGTCAACTTCAGGATTTTGGTCAGCTATTGTTCTGAGGGAACAAGCTCAACCAGTTCCAGGTACTGTTCAGGCTCAATACGTAACAAACAGTTTACTGCATCTCAACAGGAATACTTTACATGGGGCAACTGCCCTAACTATATACACCTAAGCCACTCCCAGACCCCATGCAATTGGTGAGTTCAAATGGCCTCCAGGCTCCAGATTGGCTGGCTGTCCTCAGGGGCCAATCCGCAGGCAGGTTCCAGGATCCTGCCTGCCTTTGTTCTGGGGCTTCAAGCTCCAACTAGGTGGCCTGCCCAGACAAGCCCAGACATACCTCCCCACTCTCCATCTCTCTGCCTGCCAGACAAGTCCAGGCATGCCTCCTTATGCTGGCTACTAGCACCCGCAGCAGTTAAGCCTGAGTGGAAGACTGCACATGTCCAGACATAACACTTACCTCCAGTGCTAAATGATAGTGCAGCGGCTCAAAGCGTTAAGTTGCAAAAGCAAACATGCCATGCCAGTGCAGGATGGTTAAGAATCTAACATTTGTTTTGCATAGAAGTGGAAGATTTAGAAAATTACGTACCGGGTCTGCCTGATAGTATGCTGGACCTAAAGTATTGTCTTTATCAGGAGGGTTATGTTTGAGAAGACTGCCATCCTCAGACTCTTCATAACCAAATGTTTGCCCTCGGGATGGGATAGAGGGAGCATCTGTCTTTCGGAACAGTTTCAGACTGCTGGCCACTTTCTGGGGAAAAGGAAAGGCAAGATGGTTTAAGTGAGAGCTGAAGCATGCACATGTCACAGCACAGCAGAAGATGACATAGTGCTGGATTTAGTCAAACTGACCTATAAAAGGTATCCTCTGACAAAATCTACAAACTGCTGAGGATTTACTCAACTCAATCTAACAGTGGAACAAACACAGATATACTTAAGTGCAATGGTTAGGGTATTGAAGTGGGAAACCCAAGCTCATTGTCTGCCATGAAACTTGCTGGATGACCTTGGACCAGTCACATTCTTTCAGCCTGATATACCTCACAGGGTGTCGATAAGGAAAAAGGATGTACACCACCCTGAGATCATTGAAGGAAGGGTAGGATTAAAATGTACTAAAGTTGATATATGTGGCCTTACACCCAGGGCTATTTTTGGGCAGGAACGCACAGGAACGGAGTTCCGGCTGGCTTCAGAGTTGGCCACGCCCACTACAGCCAAAACCTCTGCATGAGTGGCTACAGAGGGAAGGCTTAGAGAGTGACCTCCCAGCGACCCCAAGGCGGGCGGGCCAGGGGGGCTCTGGAAGGATCAGGTAGATATTTAAATGCCTCTCCGTGCCTTCCCCGGCCTGTCTAAGGGCCGGCTTGCCCAGGGAAGACATGGGAGTGTTGCCTAATATGCAAATGAGCTGTGATGTCAGGGTGTGGCCTAATATGCTAATGTGTTTCTGCTGTTGGGTGTGGCCTATTATGCTAATGAGTTCCTGCTGGGCTTTTTCTACAAGAAAAGCCCTGCTTACACCCATTAAAAAAATGACTGGAGCTATGAAGTCTACAGTGTGAACAAAGAGACCAGATACACACACCCCATGAGTATATCACAGGCAAAGATCAAAGCAGACTAGGAAGGTATGTTTTGTGGGGAAATGCGGTGGGAAGAAAATGTCCCTCTTGCTCATGCCAGTCTCCACCTTAAAAAGCACAGCTTCTGTGGCTGCAGTCAGTTTTAGAAACATTATGGGTAGTTCTATGATCTTTTCAACCAAATATGAACTTCTGCCTTACAATAAGCACTTCTTTCAATCCTTTCAGACCTGTAGATAAGCATTAAAAATAGCATTTAAAAAAAACCTATCACACTAACAGATTAACAGTAGGGCACGTGTTCATTGAAAGGTCTAAATGCAATAGTTCCGTCAAAAGTGATCTAAGGTAATTTCTTATTCCTAATTATCTCTCCCACCTCCATTGTCTTTTATGTCTAGAAAACTCGGTCATATCCACCAAGCTTCTTATCACTTGTGTCACACTGCTTCTCCCGCTGAACTATTGCAGACAAAACAATAAAAAGTGGCTAAGGATCTCAAGTACTTTGTGAAAATGAAGGAGACTCTGACTATCCCTCTCTGCAGATGGGAGAAAGCCAGATGTTCATTTTCATTCCATTTGACTGGTCGGTTTCTTCAGAGCAGGATTCCTGAAACCCTGGAATGCACTGCAAACCGAATTATGAAGCATGTTTCTACCACAATACAGCATGGGGAATAAAATTCAAAATGTTCTGTGCTGCTTGGGCTCAGTGCTAAATCATTTACAAGTGCAACTGAATTTATTTACAGCTTTAATACACATTCTACCTCTCATAACGTTGCAAGGATGGTTGTGCTTTTGCAAACTCTCTTCACTTCTAAAAATGCATAAAACGGTACTTGTTGTTACTGTTGTTGTTCAGTCGCACAGTCGAGTCTGACTCTTTGCAACCCCATGGACCACATCACGCCAGACCCTCCTGTCCTCTGCTGTCATCCGGAGTTTGCTTAATTTCATGGTTGTTGCATCGATAACACTGTCTAACCATCTCATCCTTTGCAGTCCCCTTCTTTCGCCTTCATTCATTCCCAGCATCAGGGTCTTCTCCAGTGAGTGCTCCCTTCTCATTTAGTGGCCAAAGTATTTGAGCTTCAGCTTCAGTATCTGGCCTCCAGGGAACAGTCAGGGTTGAATTCCTTTAGGATTGACTGATTTGATCTCCTTGCAGTCCAAGGGACTCTCAAGAGTTTTCTCCAGAACCATAATTTGAAAGCATCTATTCTTCGGCACTCAGCCTTCCTTACGGTCCAAAACTCGCAGCCATACATTACTACTGGGAATACGATTGCTTTGACCATATGGACTTTTGTTGGCAGGATGATATCTCTACTTTTTATTATGTTGTCTAGGTTTGCCATAGCTTTCCTCCCAAGGAGCAAGGGTCTTTTAATTTCATGGCTGCAGTCACAATCTGCAGTGATCATGGATCCCAGGAACGTAAAGTCTGTCACTGCTTTCATGATTTCCCCTTCTATTTGCCAAGAAATGATGGGGCCAGATGCCATGATCTCAGTTTTTTTGATGTTGAATCTCAAGCCAACTTTTGCACTCTCCTCTTTCACCCTTAGCAAGAGACTCTTGAGGTCCTTGTCACTTTCTGCCATTAGAGTGGTATCATTTGCATCTGAGGTTGTTGATGTTTTTCCCAGCAATCTTAATTGATTCATCCAGGCCGGCATTTCACATGATGTACTCTGCATATCTCTCCCTTATTATAAAAGAGTTTTGGGTGCCAGAATTCTAAAATTGGCCCCTTTAGTGTTAGGCCGAAAAAACTGCCACTCGGAAGACACTGGCTGGGTTCATTGGCTGCTTTGTGCAGTCCCGGCCAGCGTTCCAAGGTCATTTACATATGGAAGCTGATTGGACTACACTCCATTCCACACCTCAAACTCACCCCCCCCCGCAAGGCAGTTGGAATTTTCAGTTGGGAGAGGAGAATGATGTCAGCTGCTCCCTAGGCAGAGGCTGTGTGTGTGTGTGGGGGGGGGTTGTAAAGACAGACAGGCAGATAAACGTTGGCTGATGGTTGCCAACTCCAGGTTCGAACTCCAGGACATAGGGTTGCCAACTCCAGGTTGGAAACTTCCAGGATATTTTAGGGATGAAGCCTGCTGAGGGTGGGATCTGAGGAGGAGGAGGAAGAGGGGGACCTCAGACAGATACAATGCCATGCT